AATATGTGGTGTGTGTGTGTGTGTGTGTGTGTGTGTTCGCGCGCGCGATCAAGCTGACACATTAAATACTCTTTTTGTCATACAGACCATTTTTGGTCATACAGATAAGAGTAAAAGACAATCCGCAAAGAATAATAATAATAATAATAAAACGAACACTATTCTTTTTGTATTCTATTTCTTTTCTTTTTATTTATTTTACAATTAACAAAAGCAAAAAAGGCCTCTAACACTAGCTTGCTCTATTCTTCTTCTATTCTATCTGTTTTCGTTTTATTGATTAGGCCTATATAATTACAAAAAACCTTGCTACGCTACGTTAAACTGAGACTTGTCATAGGCTAGCACTTGCGTATCATGCTCTTTTTTTATTTTGATTGCTTCATTGTCCTCATTTGTAAGTCGCTTGATATAAAAGCGTCTGCTAAATGACTAAATGTAAATGTAAATGTAAATGTTTACTTTTATGTTTGCACACTCGCAATAAAAAGAACATCCGTGTTTTTGTAATGAAGCAAACAAACAGGATGAGCGTTCTATCATCTCGGTTCTCGGTTTCCTTTCCGTGAACTTGTTTGCGGATCGCCGCGCCTCACATCTGTTTTGTTAATTATTTATGTCAGATATATTTCGCATATTTATACCTTTTCTATGTATATTATGATTGTATTTTATTTTTATGGAAACAAATTTTATTATTTTTAATGTAACTTACATATATTTGCCTTAAATCATCCTGGCGACCTATTTTTGAGCCAGGGTTTGAAAAACCTAGGCTGTATAGTTAGGTCCATGCAGAAACTTGTGAACGATGCACCTATAGTTGTGTCAGCACCATTTAGTGACGTCATTGAATGTTCCGGGAAAAATGAAGTTATATTGTCAGAGTCGGGCACGGCGCCTTTTAACTGCTGATTTGGATCCGGCAATGTTTCATTTACAAATTAAGCACTGCATACATGCATATTATTCTATGTATGTATCTATTTTATATGCACTTTTTTCTTGTGGGACAGTAACCATGTGAAGAACAGCGCTGTCATTTTCAGCTAAAAGGTGATTTTGTCCCCCTACATTCTACAAACTTTATACAAGTTTACGTGCATTCAGCTGCCCATCCTAGATAATACATGAATAAAAATTATATATTTTTTTGTAGAATAATATATATATATATATAAACAATATAAACATATATATAAACAACGCAATGCTTTTTGCATGAAAAAGTTCTTACCCAGTTCATTCTCATTCTTAGTTATCATGCATTCCTGTCTCAAGTCTCCAAAAATGTCATTGCAGACTATAGCAGCGTTCCTGCTTTCTGTGTCTCCAAAGAACGAGTGAAGTTTTAGGAGATAACCTTGAATGCCTCCAACAGTGGAAGTATCAGAAGACATAATTTGTCTCTGTTGCTTACATCAGAAGCGATTTAAAGTTGACTAAGAGCTTATGTATGTAAAGTGAGTTTGCATCAAGGCGGCAAAACAGAACACCACAAATATGTGAGCGCGTTCACTTCCTGGTTGAACAGTAAGGAATGGGGAGTCGACTCCAAAAGAGTCGATTCTTCGACTCCTAATAGCCCTAGAGTTGGAGTCGACTCCAGCACTGGAATCGACTCTCAGTGTCGACTCCGACATCGCTGATGTCTTCACTGATTCTTAAATCCCTATAGTGCATGCAGTACAGTTCAGTGCTGTATTATATCAGCAAAGAGTGAACGAAATTAGGGAGGATCCGTTTGCAGTGCAGTCCATGTGCGGTTCTTAGCCAATGCGGTGCAGAAGCAGCTAGCACGTGCTCAGTGCGCTATGATCCGGGGCTAATTTTGGGCGGGCCCGGGCAAAAGTGAGCGGGCACTAGGCTAACGGACGGAGGCCAGTGGCATAGCGCAAATCCGCGGCCCCCAACCGCGAACTCAATGGTCGGCGTGTTGGGGGGCTAGATACTTCGCAATATTGTAAATATTTGTTTTAAACCAGGAAGGCGAGCCAATGGATATCACCAGGGGTTAAATTGGGATTTGTTATGTGGGGGGGCTCTATGGTAACGCTATTATTTATGTGTGTGTGTGTGTGTGTTTTGTTTTTTTGCAAATATGATTTATTCTGAAGCAACATTCTCATTAGTTTTCTATCAGCTGTGACATAAATCTGCGTGTTTTTTTATATTTTATCCAAGGCATTTTTTTTTACCTTTATAGAGGGCATTTTCCCACTAATCTCATTAATACTTTAATTTCAAATTCTTACATTTGATCTATAAATTCAATTATAATAATGTGATTATCTATACGTTATCAAATTTAATCATTTACACTGAAAAATACAACTGCATTAAATAATATTATGAGATTATTTTAAATATTTTTGAATATACAAACAAGAAATGATGGTGGAAATTATACTTTTCAACGAAATTAAAACG